GTTTTGGCAGTGCTCCTCTGGGGACACAACGGAGGCCTCTGCCAAGGTTAAGAGCTCTGAGTGGCGAGTAGCTAATACATTTGAAAGCTTCCAGGGGAGCCCAGCTGGCATGGCTCAGTGTTTGCGTGTCGACGTATGGACCAGGAGGTCATAGTTTGATTCCTGATCAGGCACATGCCTGGGCTGCAGGCTCCATCCCCAGTGTGGGGCATGCAGGAGGCAGTTGATCAATGAGATTCCCTCATCATTGATATTTCTCTCTCTCTCTCTCCCTCTCCTTCCCTCTCTGAAATCAATAAAAAATACATATACTATAGTATTTTTAAAAAGAAAGAAAGCTACCAGGGGAATGACTCATTAGGACTTGGATTTAGGCAGGGAGGGAGGTCAAGGCTGGGGCCCCGGATATGAGATGAGGGTTCAGTGTTCAGGACAGTTGAGTTAGAAATTCATGCAGCTGGCAGTGTCTTGAGAAGCTGGATGTGCTGGCCTTGGACCCAGCAGAGCACAGGGGTGGAGAGGCACATCGGGGGCCCCAGCAGTGGACACATGGCTCAGCACAGAACCCTGAGGAGTACAGACAAGAAGGAGCCCACGAAGAGAAGAAGAAGGTGTGTGGGGCAGGCAGAGCCCTGCTGAGGCCAGAGCTCTGGGAGGAAGAGGAAGTGTCAACGGTGTCCCGGAGACATCAAGCAAGATAAGAGCGGAAAAAACATCCACGGGGTCTGTGATGCAATCCAAAAAGCAAGATAACCTACCAGCGCCTGCCTGGTCTCCTCCTGCACTGACTCACAGCAAAGGGACAGAGAACCATATTTCCCCTTTGCCCCTAGAAAAGCACAAGTTTGTCCCCAAATTCTGGGCTCTCCGGAGGGGACAGGACCAGCCTTTGTGGTTCAAAGGCCCTGGTTTGCTGGGAGAAGGAGGAACCTTTCCCAAGGATCCTTTCCAGAGGGTATGGCTGAATATTTGTGATGAGAAAGAGGTGGGTACCTCGGACTCCAGTGCACAGATAGCAGCCAGCTCAAACTATGTCCTTGGAGTCTATAGGAAAGGCTCCGTGGGGCCTCAGGGACTCTCCCTGGAGGAGCACTGGGCAGGGAGGGAGCACAGCTTCAGTCCCCCTGGGCCTTGACCCCAGGAGGGCCCAGAGTACCCACCCAGGCTGAGGACCAGGGCCCAGCCCCGTCTTGTACAGTTAAAATCTGTCACGATTTAATGTTGTTAAAGGGAATATTTTTAAAGTGAGGATGCTACTTGGTTGATTACCTTTTACCTCTGTTCATAAGAAAAGATTTCTTAACTCTTCACAGTATGGTTAATTTTGAACCAGGGACTGTTCAATCTTCCTGACCCTCCAAAGCAAGCATGTCAAACTCACAGCCCGCGGGCCACATGCAGCCCACAATGAATATTTTTGCGGCCCAACCAATATAACATTATGTAAGAAACATTTTAATTGTATTATTTTGTTAACGATGACTCACGTATTTCGGCCCCTTGTATTCCGCATGTCTCTATCGAAATAAACCCACGTTTCTATGAAAAGGGAAGCTGTTGTGTTTTGGGGGCCACAGCCACTCACAGCTTGTTTACCTGGCCCTGTTAGCCTTTGAGTTTGACATGCTTGCTCCAAAGGCTAGAGTGTGGCCCATGAAATAGGAAGGAGAAAGAGGAAAACTGGAGGGTGGCATGGGGATGGGGACATTTCAGTTCTCCTGCCACTCTGCGAGCCCTGATGA